TTTCTTGTTCCTCCGTATTTCCGTTATTTTCTCAATCAGCTTTTTTCAGCCTTTGAATCTGAGATTTCTATGAAATGTTTGTTTTGGAATCTTGGCTGATTATAAGATTTTTCTTTTTTTAAATCTTTACAAAAATAAATAATAATCTAGAAAAGTTATTCTTTTTTTAGTAGCCAGTCACGGTATCCGGAGCGTTGCCCCAACTAATCAATTGGACGACTCGGGTCGCACACCTGGCAATGGTGAGTGAGTCTCCCACCATAATTTTATGATTGTGGCCAGACAAAAAATAAAAATGTAATATCTAAAATTGATGTGATAAAAAATAACAAAATAGTGAGATAAAAATTATAATTAAGAATATATGAATATCTAAATAATATATTTTTTTTAAATCATATATTATAATGCTTATTTTTATTGTTAAATTGTGCAAGTGAATTATAGAGAAAATATATAGTATATATATATATATTATATAGTATTTTTTATTTTAATGTTAACAGATGACATCTTGGTGTTTTGCAGAGCTCATGTGAATCAAGTGCATAAGTTGAAGCAGATCCTGCATAGCTACAACCAATTCACAGGGCAGAAAATTAATATGGAAAGGTCTACAGTTTTTTTCAACAAAAATACCTCAAGGGAGGTTCAACTGAGTTGTTGTCAGCTTCTGGAAGGGATCTGTATTCACTCATCTAAAGATATTTAGGACTTCTTCTTGGCATAGGGAAGTCCAAACCACAGGCTTTTGAGTATGTGCTTTCAGTGGTTAAGAGCAGACTCTCCAATTGGAAAAACAAATGGCTTTCTCCTGCAGGTAAGGAAGTGCTCATCAGAGTTGTGATCAATGATTTACTAGTCTACTCTATGTCATCCTTTGTCCTTCATGTGGGTTTGTGTGAGGAAATTGCCAAGACTACTGCTCAGTTTTGGTGGAACAAAGGGGTAGAAGAGAAAGAGGGTTCCGCCGAGTTGCTTGGGATAAGTTAACTTTGGCAAAAAAACATAGAGGGCTTGGGTTTCAGGACATCCAGTTGTTCAATGAAGCTCTGATAGCAAAGCAGTTGTGAAGATTGGTTAATGAACCTGACAGGCTGGTGAGTAGGGTTCTGAAGTCAAAGTATTTCCCCAATACTAATCTTTTTTAGGCTCACCACAATCAGAATTGCTCCTGGATGTGGAGTAGTTGGCTATCTGTGATAAGTAAATGCAGTAAGTGGATGAAAAAAGGAGATTGGAGATGAGAAAAACACTGCTGTTTGGGACATGCATTGGATAACTAGTATGGTGGGGAAACCAGTTGAGCTTGTGGCAGGTATAGATAGAAACATAAGATGGGTCAGGGATCTTATGAATGAAAATAGAGATGATTAAGATGAATGCAAAGTGAGAAGAACCTTTCCTGGCCATGTCAGTGAGGCTGTTCTAGCCATTAAATCAGTGAACCCGGATGTGCAAGACAGGTGGCTGTGGTCTCTCAGTAAGAAAGGTGATGTTTCGGCTAAGTCCACCTATTCCAAACTCATTACTGACAAATTCCTGAGGTTGGCGCATGCCCAAGGTAGCAAGGACTTAATCATAGATGCAAAGGTGAGGGAAAGGAGCTGGAAATTGAGAGTTATGAGGAAGGTTAAGCATTTTCTTTGGAAATGATGTAATAATTCTCTTCCTGTCAATGTGCTTCTGGTTTCTAGGGGAATATCTGTTGATGTTAACTGCAGCTTGTGTGGGGAAGGGGCTGAAACATTGGAATATCTTTTTTTCAACTGTCACCAGGAAAAATTGGTTTGGAAGCTGGCACCAGTTCATTGGGAGGGCCCTAAGCTGCAAGAGACTTTTAAACATTGGTGGTGGCAAGTTTGCCAGTTGGACAAGTCTGATACTTCTGAAGCCAGAATTCAATTATCCACGTATATACTTTGGTGGCTTTGGAAGCCGCGTAATCTCTGGGTATTTGAGAAGACTAGAAGACTTGCTCCCCTTATAGTTAAATTAGCTATCCAGGATTGGCAAACTTATGTGAACTGTAGGGGCCGGTAGAGTCTGTTTTTCTTTTGTGTTTTTGGCTGTGGGGGTTTTTTTTCTCTTTCTCTTTTCTTTCCTTTTGGCTTGGTTGTTTAGCTCAGCTAGGATCTTTGATCAGTAGTTGGGTGTTGGTTCTTTTTAGTTCTGCTATGTTGTAGATGTTTGGAGTAAAGGCTCAGGTGTTTTGTCTACTTTATTGCCATTAGCTAAAGCTACAGCTAAACTGTTTGTTTGGTTTGTTTCTCTAGGCCACCTGCGTGTGGTGCTCCCATGTTGTCGGCTTTGATTTGTAATCTTGTACTCTGGTTTTTCATTTATGAAAAAATTTCTATCGTTCCGGAAAAAAAAAAGAAGGCACGCTTCTGCCAAATAATAATACTAAAGTTACTGATATTTTTTTGTTGGGTTGTTTCCACATAAAAGGAGTAAATAAAAAAACCTGTGTATTAGATACAACTAGCAATACTGAATTTTTCTTTGATGTGTGCATAAAAATAAATAATGGGAATGACTAAATTTACGTTACAGAATCATTCTGTTAGAGTTTTGAAGATTATCTACACATGTATAACATTTTGGTACTTCACATTTTTGGAAAATACTACAGTCTCGTTATGGAATCATTCTGTCGGGATTTGTAATCGTTAGGTCATCATGTAATCGTCGTGGATAGTTGATCTAACGGATACAAACTCCGACAGAATGGTTGCGTTATGAGACCGTAGAATCTCCTTTTTTTTCTATCTGTTAATTTCTTTCTTTTTTTTTGGTACAAAAAAAAAAAAAGTCTCAAGCTTAGCGGCTCAGTCGCACACATTACGCGAATAGGAAACACCAAGAATATTAGTCTTTTAAAATGGACGCGTATATTAGTCTTTTAAAATAATAATTAAATTGTTTCAGTAACTTAAAATAAATATATTACAAGTTAACAAATTATCTATTTCGTATACCAGTTTTCATATATAATTTATCTACTCATTTGTTAACGAGTTCCGATTTAAAATTCATATTGTATATATATATAAAACAAATAATTATACAATCTTTATAATAGAAAATAATTTATCTGTAAACATATAATTCAAAATTAAATCGATAATGCCACGTATAAAGAGCATGACTAGTGCTCCACCGACTTGCAAAATTGATCCCTAAAAAAATTGTAGGCCCTGTTCAAAATCAATCCCAATAAAGCCCCATGTGTGGACGGTATGACCTCTCTTTTCTTCCAAACTTGTTGGTCCCTCATTAAAACTGATTTGTGTGCTGTTGTTAGAAGTTTTTTTGATTCAGGTAAGCTCCTCAAAAGTATAAACCATACCTTAATCACTCTTATTCCCAAAACTCAAAATCCAGAAACTGTTTCCCAATTCCGTCCTATAAGCCTTTGTAGTGTTACTTATAAAATCATATCCAAATTGCTTGCTGAGAGACTTAAGCCTTTCCTGTCAGTGTGCATTAGTATTAATCAAGCTGCTTTTGTCCCCAATAGGCAAATTATGGATAATGTCATTCTTAGTCAGGAAATCATTCATCATCTCAGTAGGCATAAAAGTGGTAATAAATGCATGATGGCTCTGAAAATTGACATGGAGAAAGCTTTTGACAGAGTTGAATGGAAGAGTGTGAGCCTTATCATTCTTAAACTGTGTTTTAACTCTGTTTTTGTTAATTGGATCATCTCTTGTATCTCCTCTGCTTGCTTTTCTTTTAATGTCAATGAAGAGTCTTGTGGGTTTGTCACTCCTACCAGAGGGATAAGACAGGGGGACCTACTGTCCCGTGTTCTTTTTGATTTCTAAGATTATGTCATTTCTTATCCAGAATCATCCTGATAACCTTTCTCTGAAAGGCATTAAAATTTCTAAACTTGGCCCCACAATCACTCACCTATTTTTTGCGGATGATACCCTCCTCTTTTCCCAAGCAGATACAGATCAAGCCACTTCTTTGCTCTCCATCCTCAAAGACTACCACAAAATAACACGGAAAAAAGTCAACCTTAGTAAATCTACCATTTTCTTCAGCAGAAACACTTCAGCCCTAGTCAAAGAATCTATATGCCATATTCTTCTTGGTATTCAACCTCATAACTCTTCTAGATACCTACGATTGCCCCTAGGTGTTGGGAAAAACAAAATTGAAACTTTCTCATTCATTGTCCAAACAGTGGAAAAGGGAATTCTCAATTGGAAGAATAAATTTTTGTCTACCAGTGGAAAAGAAGTCCTTTTGAAAGCAGTTCTTAATGCACTTCCCGTCTATGCCATGTCAATCTTTTTGCTACCTAACAGTATCTGTGCAAAAATTGCAAGCTTGTTTGCTATATTTTGGTGGAAATCAGGTTCTTCTGAGAACAAAGGGGTGCACTGGAAAAGCTGGAAATTGCTGACTTTGCCAACTGAGAAGGGGGGCTTGGGTTCCATGACTTAAAACTCATGAACAAGGCTCTTATCTCTAAGCAAATTTGGAGGATGCTAACCCAGCCAAACCTGCTAGTTAGCAAGTGTTTGAAAGCTAAATGTTTCCCTGATGACAATTTTTTCTCTGCCAAAAAGAAGCACTATGGCTCTTGGCTTTGGCACAGCTGGTTATCAGTGAGAGACACTTTTCACAAAGGGTTTAGATTTGAAGTGAAAGATGGAGCATCAATCAAGATTTTTGAGCACTCTTGGATTCCTAACTTACCTGGATTTATCCCAAAAACCAACAGGTACAGAAGTGTTGATATTATTTGGGTGAAACAATTGATAGATGAAACAGGAAGACACTGGAACATGGACCTGTTGCAGCAACTTTTTCCCCAGCATGAACAAGAAGCTATTTGAAACTAAGAAATCTTCAACCAGAGGAGCATGACAAATTTGTGTGGCATTGTGGTAATGAGGGAAAACACTCAGTAGCTGATTCGTATCAACTCTTGGTCAATGAGAAATGGAGACAAATGGACAGGGCTGAGCACAACAAAGACCAATAAAAAACCAAAAATGCATACAAGAAGCTTTGGAAGATGAAAATTCAAAGAAAAATCACTCACTTCATCTGGAAATGTCTGAATAATGCCCTACCAGTGATGGATAATCTAGCAAGAAGAGGTGTAAACGCAGATCCTAGATGTCCTACATGTGGAGAGGCTACTGAAACTGTGGACCACCTTCTCTTTGAATGTCTCAAAGAAACTATGATATGGAAACTAGCACCATTGAATTGGGATGGATCACATCACCTAACTGACAGCTTCAAGCACTGGTGGACTTACATCTGCAGCATCCCATCTTCAAATGCATCAGCTGCAAGACTCCATTTTACCACCTACTTGCTGTGGTGGATTTGGAAACGAGAAACCTTAGGGTTTTTCAAAAAACTTGGAGACCGGAGCAAGCAGTGGTTAGGATTACTTTGGACAATTGGCTTGAATTTGATAAACTGTAATCTTTTGTCCCTTTGTGTAGTTTTTGTTGTAGATAGTTTTTCTTACAGTGTAGTTTTCTTGTCTCCTTTGGAGACTTTTTGTGGATTAAATCTAGGGTCGTAGACCAGTGGTTTTAGTTCATTTTGCTGTGATAGGGGCAGTTAGCATGAGCTCATATGCAGGGCCATTATCTCAGGTACACTACCCCTTGATCTTTTGTTGATTGTTTAGGTCACTTTTAGTGTTCCTCCATTCAGCCTGTTGGTTGTATTTAAGGCTAGTTAGCCTTCGCATATGTACATTCTATTTTTTGGAGCTATAAAATCTATCGTTTCGGAAAACAAATAAAAAAAAATAAAAAATGGAAGTGTAATATTAATGTATACACTTTCAATTCCACAACATACTGATATTTATAACACAAGTAGTAACGCCTTTTTTTTAGTAGCTATACTCTATTAAATTTACAAATGTTTATTCACATACAATGTTTCAAATAAATAGGGTGTGTTTGCATTAAAAAAAAAAAAAAGCTCGATCCATATTCATTTCACACTCAAAATCTAACTTAGCTTGAATTCAATTGCACTATCTTCAATATTATTAATATAATTAAATAATATCAATCAATCATTCTTACAGATCATATTAACTTTAAATTACTATTAATTCGCTCAAATAATTCTAATTATCACTTAACATATCTATCTTACTTTTACATGAAATCAACTTTAATTATTCTATTTAAATATTATTTTAATATAAAACTAAAATTTCACTAACAACTCACCATACCACTTTATTCAAAATTAACTATGGTTAAAAAAAAAAAAAAGCTCAGTTTTAAGCGGATACATACATTAAGTATAGAATATCACAAAACCAAGAGCATCTGATTCATCTCTTACAATAACTTGAATGCCAATAGAAAAGCTCATAACAGCAGGCTCACAACTGTTGAACCTTATTATCAAAACCTTAAACCAAACATTACTCTACTCACTCCTGTTTCAACGAATTCCCAATGTCGATAACAAAACGGTACTTCACGTCGGACTTCAATACGCGCTCCATGGCCTTGTTCACGTAATCCATCTGAATCATCTCCACGTCCGGTAATATGTTGTGCTTAGCCGCAAAATCAATCATCTCTTGCGTCTCTTTAAGTCCTCCGGTTGCACTTCCGATTATAGCCCTCCTCCCTATCAAAATTCCAACGATTTTCCATCACTCAATACTGTAGCCGGGTTAGGCTTGAATTTGCCTACATTTATCATGAAAATGAATAATGTGAATGCTTAACTATTACCTATAAGCAAGGGAAAAACCGGAACTTCTAGGCTTTGTGGGAGTCCGACTAAGATTAGTTTTCCGTCAGGCTTCAACAAACTCACCAAGGGGAAAAGTGAATGAGTGGCCGAGACGGTGTCAATTATACCATCCAACGTGCCCGCCGCACCCTATCCATAAAATAATTAGTACAACTATATTTGGTAAAACTAGCTTATATGGTAGCTGATAGCTTATAAGTGAATTTCTAGCTTATATCTGGTAGCTTATGGCTTATGGCTGAAAAGCTAGCTGATATGATTAAAGTGTATGGCAAAATAAGCTAATAAGCCAGCTGAAATAAGAATTTCAACAAGTTTATTTGAAAAGCTACCCAAAGAAATGTAAGAGATAAACTCGAGTTTCTAAGAAAAGTTTGTCCTACCAAACCAAACTTATTTGCATGCAGAAAGCTTATAAGCTAATCAAATAAATTATAAGCTAGCTTATGGTTCTTACCAAACACACTCAAAATACATCACTAATCACTACCTGCATCTGTCCCTCATCAAGGCTGACCAAGAACTCGTCCACCCCAAGTTTCTCGATAGCCTCCGCCTTTTTACTCACCGAGGTACTAATGACGGTCACCCGACACCCAAAGGCCTTGGCGAACTTGACCGCAAGGTGGCCCAACCCGCCTAACCCGACGACCCCAACACTGATCCCGGGCTTGTCGAGCCCGAAATGCTTAAGCGGGCTGTAGGTGGTGATTCCGGCGCACAAGAGTGGGGCACCAGCGTCGAGGGGCAGGTTGTGGGGCCAGCTGACGACAAAGTGCTCGTCAGCCACCATGATGTCCGAATAGCCGCCCTGTGTGATGGTGCCGTCATAGTAAGGCATGCTGTAGGTAAGGATCTGTTTGGCACAGTAGTTTTCGAGATCTTTCTCGCACAAGCTGCACTCGCGGCACGACCCCACCAGGCAACCGACCCCTACCCGGTCACCAACCTTGAATTTTGTCACCTTGCTTCCTACTTCAGTAACAGTTCCTACAATCTCATGCCTGCATTAAATACAGTTATATTAGATAAAACAGAACAGAATAATAAACACTTGATTTAGAGTAATATATAACAGAATAGTAAACACATGCGATTTTACGTACCCGGGCACCATTGGGTATTGGGTGAAGCCAAGCTCATTCTTAGCCATGTGAAGATCTGAATGGCACACCCCACAGTAC